GTGTGTGTGTGTGTGTGTGTGTGTGTGTGTGTGTGTGTGTGTGTGTGTGTGTGTGTGTGTGTGTGTGTGTGTGTGCGGGGGCGTGAGTGCGGGGCGCGCATGCCCATGCGCACGACACATACAGACAGAGCGGACACAGACGCGTGTCTCCTGCAACGTCGCAAATTCGCAGCGTAGCTGGGTGCGTTTGGCAGCCATTGCTCTGTGGCTGAGCCGTTGGAGTCTGCAGCGCGACAGCAGCCTGGGGCGCACCTTGCGCCGATGGAGCCGACGGTCAGCGCGTTCCTGTTCCAGCTGCCGTGGAGGGCGACAAAGGCCGCCTTGTTGTATGTGGCCGGGAAGTTGCTCTTACTGTGGTGCGAAGTGAAGGAGCAGCAATTTGCGCCGTCTCGTTACAGCTGAAGAGGGACTGACAGCGCAGGAGTGAGGAGGGCCCAGGGCCGGACACAGGGAGCAGCATGCAACGCAGAGCCTCCTCGGGTGGCTGCACGCAAGGTGCACCCGGCCCCTCCTCGAGCCCCTGGCACCCCTACAACCCCTCCCCGTGCACCTCCCTGGGCCCTCACCCCTTCCACTTGTAAAACCGAATGCCTAGCGGTGCCACATGCGGGCCTGCTGCCTGAATCGCCGGCCTGTACCCAGGGCTTGCAGGGTTGCACTTCAAGTTGGCCTCTGCCACGTTCACATCAGGATCCGTAATGGCCGTCCCGACGCCGACAGCTCGTGTGTAGGGTGTGGCGTCCTGGCCGCCCACAGCTCCGGTGTGGCAGTAGGGGTAGCCAAAGAATGGGGTCGCAGAGCCGGCCTTTGTGCTGACGCCGGTTGCGCCAAAATAGTTGATCTCGCAATCGGGGCTGTTGTCAGTAATGGCCTGGTTGTTGCCGCCAATGTCTAGTGGGAGCAGTGCAAGGGAAAGCATGAGTCAAAGTTTTGATGCATGCATTCAAGTGTGTGTGTGTGTGTGTGTGTGTGTGTGTGTGTGCATGTGTGCGTGCGTGCGTGCGTGCGTGCAATTGCGTGTGTGCAGTTGCGTGTGGGAGGGGGACTTGAGTGCGCGTTTGTGTGCGTAGGTGTGTCTGCATGTCACGCACAATACAAACATACGCATGCAATTAGAAGCCCTTCATGCCCATGCATCTGGTGACATCTAGTGTATCTGACTAACATTCTCATGGATAGAGCCCAAGTCCATGCCTTGCCACTCTTGCGGCAACACTTGCAGCCATATGGCAGCATTCACTGCTGTCCTACCACCCACCATCTCTCCCATTATCTGTGAAGTACATCCCGTACTGTGGGTGGAAGTCAAAGCCCACAGTGTTGCGAACACCATCCGCAAGCAGCTCAGGCGCAGCGCCCTTCTGGTTGGGCATGCCACCGGTGTACGGGGGCTTGAAAAGGTAGATGGACGCAAACCTGGGGTGGGGTGTGAGTACGGTGAGTGGCGATGAGGGAGGGCAAGCAAGTAGCACGAGGGACGAGCTGGCTACAAATTGAAGGCAGGATGTCTCGCTGTGCATGTATGCAACCAAAGCAAGCGTGCATGCACACAAACATATACACATGCACGTGTGCGCGCACACACACACACACGAAGCTGTGCCAAAACATCCTCCCTGCACCTGTACTTTGGGTATCCATCCGCCTTTTGGTACTGCTGAGCCACGCCCTTGTTATTGGAGTTCATGAGTGTTGGCCACTGAATGTTGCTTGTCACTCCGCTGCCGTTCATGTAGCCGATGTTGTAGGGTGCGCCGATAGGGATTAGCAAGTTGCCCTTGGAATCAAAGCGGATGAACTTCCAGCCGTGCCAGAAGTCCTTAGGCAGATCATCGCGCAAGATCTCAAGATCAGACGCGGCTGCAGTCTGTCCGCCGTTTCAGAAATGAGGTTTGGGGGCGTGGGGAGGGGAGCAAGCGGCACAAGGGCTGTCATGAGGGGCGCCTCGCTCGCGGGGCAAGCCTGAAATGACAGACCCGTGTGAGCATTCTTCTTTGCCCCCCAGCAGCCCATCACATTCCACCTCCCTCTGCCTGCGCCCCTTTGTCCAGCGGTATAGCAGCAGCCGCCTGCACGTGCACGCGCCTCCTCACCTTCTTGCCCAGGGCCCATGTGTCTGCATTCTTGAGGCGGTACAAACGGAACCAAACGTCATCGTTCAGTACTGCGATATACAGATCGTTCTTGTGCCTGTGCATACGGAGCATCGAACGTCAGCCAGGTGGTGACATGTGGCCAGCGCGCCCCGGCTTCAACAGCCGGTAGCAGCCACAAGGGCGGGACGTTCACTAGGGCTGCATGCCGCTGCATGCAGCGACGTCCGGCTCATGCAGCCGCCAGGGTGCAATTGGTGACATGCAGGGCGCACCAGGCAATGCCGTTGGGCTTGAGGGCGCCCTCAAACGTGGCTGCGCTGGTGATGGGCTGCACGTAATCCGCGAGGCCCTTGCCGTCCAGATCAACCATTGCGTTGATGATTTGGGGCCCCTTGCTGGGGTCAAAGGTCAGCGCCGAAACGTAAGTAATCACAGGCCCGGTCACTTTGGAGTTGCCCGAGACAGCCAGGCTGCGGGCGTTGGGAATGTTGCCATCTGCGCATGTATGTGTGCGGGGAGGTGTGCGCGTGCAGTGTTCCTTGGCTGTCACAGGACAGGTACGTCGGGAAGGCAGGTTTTCACTGCCGCTTTCCTACCCCATCACGCGTCCCCCACAAGAAAGCATGGCAGGCGCTGCCCAACCCAGCGATGCACTGATCGCGTTTGGCCTGTGCTGAGATGCCATACTGCATGTGTGGCAGCTATCGTTTGCCGCTGCAATGCAGGGGCACTCCAGACTGTCGCCGAACTGGTCAGCCAGCGTGGCTGCTGCACTTTGTTGGGAGTCGGTGGCGGGCAGGCCCCAGCCAGGAGACCTGCTGCCGTGGAAGTGAAAAATATACATTGATGTCGACCCACGCACCGTGATATATCTGGAGCTTGAAGCCCGCGGGCAGAGTGAATTGCGTTGCAGCGTTGCTTGACCCGCAAGTAGCGCCGAGGGCTGCTGCCTTGAAATATGCTAGCATCAAGCCCACCGCCAAAAGCCTTGATCTCCACATGCTGGCCAGGGCGACGATGGCTGGCACCAGCCACTTGGCCAAGAAGCGGACCCGGTGACCGAAGTCAGGTATGATTTTGCAGCACGCGACACGCGTGTAAGACCACCACACGCTGGTGAACGAAGACGTGGCCAAGAACGCTTGCGTGACCGTCACCGGAACCACGGGGACGTTGTGTCCGGCCCAAACTGGAAAAAACACCACTGTACCGGCCACGATATATGCTGAAGAAATCTGCACATGACCACAAGATCAAATGAAATCGGCCTACCTTCCATGATGCCCCTACCGCCACGTCCTTCCTGCCGTAAGTCTGAGGGGGGCTGGTCACTGACACACCGCTGAGACGGGTGCAAGTGCACGGCGACCTGACGCCAGAGGACAGCCTTGCATGATGTGTGCTTTGTGTGCGCAGGTCTGAAACTTGTCGTCAGCGGCAATGGAAGTTGAGCCGAGCAAATGTATGTGTGCCAGAGCCCTTCAGGACGACATCCCAAGCATTGACCTCGGCAGTGCAGAGCTTATCACGCATGCGTACCCTCGCGCAGTCTCTGGCATCAGTGTGCCTCTAAGCCCTCTACGGGATGTAATTTCAAAGCGAGAGCAGGCTTGTACCTGTTACCCTCAATGCTGGGTCTGCTGGCTGAAAACATCACTGGGGCCTCCCTTGCTGAACATCAGTGTACACAGGTGAGAAAAGGTGCAGCACTGGCTTGCTGACTTGCAGGTTGAAAGCTGTGCCCAATAATGCCGTGCGTGAGGACAGAGGTTCATTTGCTGGGATCCATCACATGGCGGCACGTACCATGATGCGGGTCACAAACACATATTACATTCTTAGCTGGCATGAGCATCCTCCTAAGGTCTCGTTTTGTGTGCTGCCCATGCTTTGATATTGACGTTGGAACCAACCCACCACCCCATCCCAAGCGCTTGCTTGGCTGCTGAAGATGTTCCTGTCAATTACTAAGCCAGCTGCGCGCCCAGCATGTCGCCGCGTTGACGGCCAAGGCTTGACCATTTAATCCCGATGCTGAACAGAGGCGATGATGCGCAATGTTTCAGCGCATGCACCGGCTTTGTCCGTGACCCTTCCGCCTCATATCAGGCCTGTGCCCCCCAGCGCGTCGCCGCGTGCCCAGCGCTTGAGGTGGTCTGGACAGGCGGGGTGCTGCTGGATCCCCGCGTCCAGCTCAGCACGAGTCAGCAGCAGCTGCGCTGCGCAGTGCTGCTGCATTAGCCCCTTGCTCTCCGCCCTGCGGGTGCGGCGGCGGCGCAGTTTCAAAGGGCAGGAGTGGCAGGAGGAGCGTTTCATTCGGGTCAGCCTGCCGGCGGCCACCCGAGAACGCATTCACGGCGTGATGCTTGATTGGGAGTGAACGGCCTAGAAAATACATGCATGCACGCTCGAGCTGTGTCGGCCCGCGTTTTTCTGTGCGCCCGCCCTCCCGCCCTCTCCCTGGTCACCTGGCGGCCGTGAACTGCACGAGCCCGGTGCTGGCAACGTCCCTGAAGGCGCGCCATGCGGCGGGCTTGCGCCAGAGGGGGCCCAAGCTCTCGTTCTTTGCTTTTAGGAACTCGTCAAACACCATCTGGCGCGGCGCGCGTACATGTGAGGTTCAAGGGGTTGGATGTGTTTGTTTCGTGCTATAATGCGCACGCGTGTGCGGACTGCTTGAGTGTGTGTTTGTGTGTGTGCGTGTGCATGTGCGTGCGTGTGTGTGCGAGTGTGTGCATGTGTGTGCGTGTGTGTGTGTGTGTGCCTGCGTTTGCATGCGCACACACCTGTGCATGCATGCAATGCAGAGCATGTGCATAGGAAGAAGTGGGCGTCGGCACGCTGTGACCGCCTGCTTGCATGTATGTCGCCACAACATCGCCACGCGCAAGTATGCAGCACCCGTGCAAAGCCCTCGCCCCTCCTCCTCCTCCTCTTCTCCTCCTCAACCATGCATGCATCGCGCGCCCCACTGGTCTTGCCCTGAACCCCACACCTCAAAGTTGAACGTGCCCTGCCCGCGGTCCTCCAGCCGCTGCGCCGCCACCAGCAGCCCGAGCTGCAGCGCGCTCATCCCCGCGACCGCCGCCGGCCGGCTGCGCAGCGGCCGCAGCCACGCGTCCACCCCCTCCAGCAGGTGCTGCGCGCCGAGCGGGCCCATGTGTTGCAGTTGCCAGCGCGACAGCGCGGCCGTCGAGATCACGGCCAGATCTCGGGGGCAGACGCCGATCTTTGACAGCTCTTTGAGCTTGGCCTGTTGGTTTGCGCGGAGGTCGGTGGCAGAGCGCCAGGCAAATCAGCTCATGGCGGCAGTCACAGTGATGTGGTTGCGCCTAGTCGGGCACCAAACACCTCCTGTGGTGTCGGCACAGATTGGACGCCGAGCCCTGGCTTGAGAGGTCTCGGCAGAACAAAAGGCGCCACAAGGGCATCGCTGGCGTCGTGCCTCTGCGCACGCACCCACCGGCCCAGCGCGCCTGAAGCTGCCTGAATGGCTGCGCTGCAGCCGCGCGCCGCACCTTGACGGCTGCGCTGTCGAGCGCCATCGCCAGCTCCCGCTCGTAGCTGCGGCCCTGGGGCTGCGAGGCCAGCTGCTCTGGCAGCGACAGCATGTGCTGCAACATCGCTCGTGGTGTCTCCTCGGCCTGCAGTGACGGCAGGGGGTCAGTTGGTTGCACGCTTGTGTGTGTGTGTGTGTGTGTGTGTGTGTGTGTGTGTGTGTGTGTGTGTGTGTGTAGCGGTTGAGGTGGGGAAGCAACGGAGAGGCGCACATTTGTTCAGAATGCGAGGCACGCGGCTCTGAACACGCTTGACAAGACCTCGCTGCAGCAGCCACGAGAGCGCACAACTCAACAGCAGCGCGGCACGAGCCAGCGCGGCCCGCACCCCCTGAGGCGCCCGGCCCCGGCCCCCGCCCGCCTCGCCTTTGTGTGGTCCAGCGGCGGCAGCAGCACGCGCCTGCTGCTGAAGCGCGAGCGCACGCGCTTCTCCATGGCGTCCTGGACGTCCCACTGGCACGTTACGCCAAGGACCGCCGCCTGGGGGCGCGTCGCGGCGCGGGCGCGGTGGGGCGTGCACACCCAGTCAGGGGTCGGGGTCGGCGACGCTTTTGGGGGGGCGGGGGAAGGTCTGCAGCGTCCAGTCCAGCCTGTTTGCGGCAACAGATCACCGCCTGATACCGCCGTTGCCGCTGGCCGCCTGGGCCCTGAGTGGCGCCGTCGCATGCCTTGCCAGCGAGGACAGCGCAGTAACGCCGCATACCGCCACCTTCCGCCTCATGCCCGCATTCTTCAGCGAGGCGCGCAGCAAGTGCAGCAGGGCCGCGTCCTGCCTTACCTGGACCTGGCTGCTGGTGAGGGCGTCCAGGAGGTTGTACAGCACCATCTGCTTGGCCACCCTCACGTACGCCTCCACCTCGTCGATCACGAACACGACGCACTTGAGCGCCCTGGCGGCAAGGGGTGCGGCGGCGGCGTGATAAGCAAGGGGGGGGGGGCGCACAGTGTGCGGCGGGCGAGATGCGGTGCACACCTTACCACGAGGATTCCTGATGCAGCAGCAACGTGATGCGGACCCGGCTCTCCCGACCACTTTCCTTCAGCAGCAGTCAAGGAAATGCACCCACATGCACGAACGCAAGCAAGCACGTACGCGCACGCACGCGCGAACACACACACACACACACATTACCTTTCTGTTTCTCCCTGTTGCACACGCACACATCTGTACACACACACCCATAACACAACTCCTACTTTCGTACCTGCGCAGCTGCAGCAGCATGTCCTTCAGGAAGCCGAGGTTGTCATCATAGCTTGCAGATCGAGAGAACGTGCAGCCAAACGTGGCGCACAGCTGCCGCGCAATTTCTTGGAACGCGGCGCGCTCGTCGCCGTGCAGCGCGCCGTGCAGGCGCACGACGCCGAGCGTGGGGTTTGCGGGTGACGAGTTGTGCTCACGGCAGAGCCCGCCCAGCACGCGCTCAAGGAGCTGCGCGTCGGAACGGGAGGCGGGAGGAGCGCGACGCTAATCACAAAGCGCATCGTGAGGGCGTGGGACACTGCCTGATTCAGAAGGCCCCTGCTGCCACGGCTGCTTCACTACAAAGCTGTAGCGCACAGCTTGCGCTCGAGCTAAGGGTGCCCGGCGAGGCGGGCATCCAGCCGACTTGCTGCCTGTGCCCAGCTGTTGTAGCTCCCAAACGCGTGCGGTGCCCCACCTTCCGCCAATTTGTGAAGTCGAACCGCCACCCACCAGGGTCTTGCCGCTTCCTGGCTCGCCGATCACCAGCAACGACACGTTCTGGCCGCCGATCACTACGTTGCTCAGCAGCGCCGCAAGCTCCCGCTCCAGCGGCGCCAGGGCGGGGCGCAGCGGCAACACCGCGGCATCGGCGGACCGCGGGTCACGAATGCGCGCCACCAGGTGGTCGATGGCTGCCTGCTTGAAGTTAGCTGGTGCCGCAGCCAGCCCCTGCCGCAGATTGTCATCTCGTTGGGCCCCGTGCCGCTGCTGGTCCTGCTGCTGCCGCTGCTTCTGCTGCTGCTGCTCAATTTGCTGTTGCGACAGGCCCTTCAAATGGTCTGTATCGGCCCTGGGGCGCTTGAGGGGGCTCTGCATGGCGTGTGCCGGCCAGCGACCGCGTAATTTGCACGATACAAATTGGCGCCAGATCACACATCTATACTCGTACTTGCTAGAGCGCGGGGAAGTGATGAGTGCATATCTGATTGACGATGCAAATCCGCAGTTGCGGGGAACACTCAAATAGCTATGTGATCGGGTGCCTCCACTGGAACTTCTGTGGTGAGTGCCGTATGGGGACAAATACTGTCCCCTATCGTGATATGTGGACAGCACGCAAAAAGAGGGAGCCAAGCCGCAGTGCTGACAAGCAGCCACGCCGCACTGCTTGCAACCACCCTGCCCGCCACCCAAGCAGGTACTTCGCTGCTCTAGGTACTGTATCCCCCTGCCGCAACGTACAAGTACCGGTGCCAAAAACATTCGTGTTCTTTGCGCGAAATATGTGCAGTATGCAGTTTCTTGCATAATTGACCTTCTCAGATACGTTGAAGGTGGCATCCCAACCAGCACTTGTCACCCTGGCCAAAACTCTGGCAGTGTTGCGCTGGGCAGCAGTCAAGTGGGCTGCGCCCTACATTGTGGGCATGCTGATGCACTAATTGCGACTTGAATAAAGTCAATGATTGCATTCAGAGTAAAGGTGGGACGGGTTGTGGGTACTTCATGCCTCTCTCAGTGGTGATGAATTTGACCTGTGCATTCACGCAGCGCCATCGCTGTGTCATGTTGACTCAATGGCACTGACACAACGCAAGCGCATATTCAGCTGACTGTTACGGGGCTAAGTACATGACACTGCCCACAGATACCGTGAGAGACTGCACTTGGGCAGCAATGGCCACAGGCCTAGCGTGACTTCAGCATGAAGCGTCCGGACACTCAAGTAATTTCATCAACATGGGTGCTCAGCAAGGCGTTGTATACCCCGACTAGGCTGCGCCCGTGGCTGCACAGGATAGGATAAGGCAGCAGTAGGGCAGGCGGGCGTGCGGCAGGCCTGACCTAGGCCAGCCACCAAGTGTTGGCCGCTTGCGTGGTGTAGGGGCGCACGTGCGCGGCGCAGAGCACGCTGCTGGCAACGTTGTGCTGTGTGCTTGGGGTTATGCTTGAGCCGCTGCACATGCCTCTGATCAAATAACTAGGCACATGCCCCAAGTAATTGTGGCAAGGCCTGCAGCGGGGAGGCCGAGATGATGCCACGCGCGGCATTTCCAATGCCCATGCCGGGTGCCGAACGGGTGAGTCTTCGTCACTCCCTCTGCTTTCGCCTCTTGTAACGTACCCAATGAGGAGTGTGTCGATACCCACGCCAATCTGTCTCTACCCCAGCACTGCACATGAATTGAATCGCTGTGTGCTGGCGGGCCTCGACCACGCTAGTCCTGAGCAGCCCCCTTAGGCAGGCTCACGAGATTGAGAGAGCTATTTATCAGGTGAGCCGTCCCGGGAAGAGGCCAGCAGCGCTGCGGTGCCAACTGCGCTGGGATGAAGCACGGCCCTTTGTCCCGCACGGCAAGGCCCCCTCAACAGCCATAGTTCTGCATGCACCGTTTTTGAGCGACTGCTTATCGCCCTGGCGTGCTCTCCAAGGGCGATGTTCGTGTCCTCGCAAAAGACACTTGTGTGTGAAGGCCCTCCTGGCCCCCCTCCTCCTGGCACCTCGACCCTTTCAGACTGCTGGCCACTCGGCGTCCGGGAAAGTTGCAACAGCCAGTCAGCACCCGTCGTCGAGGGACCCTCGTGTGGCACGCAGGCTCAACGGTCCGCCGCGAGCCGGATCAAGCAGTGCGTCGGGCCCCATGATCCAAGCATCTATGGCATACGAAGTTCCCGGAATAGGGATGGGCATGGGCCCAGGAGGCGAGTACGTCGCTATGCAGCAAGCCACCAGCTTCACACCGCACAAGGGTGTTGTCTACCTACAGCCGCAGCAGCCGCCTCAGCAGCAGCAGCAGCAGCAACTTGTGCCTGGCGGCGTACGCCTGGTGCTGCAGCAGCAGCAGCAGCAGCAGATGGTGCAGCAGGCGCAGCTGCTCGCGCCCAGCGGTGGCCAGCAGCACGTATGGGTCCAAGCCGCGCCGCAGCAGGTGCACCACCAGCAGCACATGTTGCAGGTGGCAGGCCTGCCGCGCACGCAGCCCCAGTTCGTCCAGTTGCAGCCGCCGCCGCAGCAGACGGGCCCGGCGCCCCAGCAGATCGTGTATGTCCAGCAGCAGATGGCCACGCCGGCACCCGGCCCCCTCCTCAGGCCCATGCCGCAGGTCGTGCAGCACCAGGCGCCCACGCAGCAGCCCGCACCTACGCCCGCCGGCCAGCCCGCGCCCGGGTCCACGGTCCTCGTCAACATCAACGGCACCCTGCGACAGGCTGTCGTCGGCCAGAATCGGGCCCTCTTCCTCATGGACAGTGCCAAGCCCGCAGCGGCGGCCGCCCCCATGGCGCAGCCCCAGCCACAGGCGTCCATGCAGCCCGTGCCGCAGGCTGTGCAGTATGTCACCATGCAGGCCTCGGCGCCCCAGCAGGGCGGTGGACCGGCGGGCCAGCAGTACGTGGCCGTGCAGCCCCAGGCGCGTCTGGGCGGCGCCATGCAGGGCGTGCCGATGGCTCTGCGCCCCGCAGGCGCCGCCATGCAGATGGCACCCGCCCAGTACTTGTCGACCCAGCCGGCTCCAGCGCAGCCGGGCGGCCAGCACATGCTGCTCGCCACCAGCAGCGGCATGCCGCAGCAGCACGCGCCCCAGATACTGCAGCAGCGCCCCGCTGCCCTGCAGCTCGTAAACGGCCAGATTGTCGCTGCCACCTCCAGGCCCATGGCCGCGGCGCAGCACGCCAATGGCGGCCTCGGGCCGGTGGGCGGCATGCTGATGCCCCTGCAGCAGCAGGGGCCCGGCGCTGTCGCCAGCGCCGGCACGCCTGTGAGTGCCGCGACGACCTTCATTGGCGGCGGCGGCGCCGCCCCACGCCCGCCAGGGCTGCCGATGGTGTCGGTGCCGCCGTCGTCTTCGGGCCTCGATTTGGTGGCGCTGCAGGCGCAGGTGGCGCAGGCCCAGGCCCAGGCCGCACACCAGGCGCAGCAGAAGCAGCAGCAGCAACAGCAGCAGCTGCAGGCCGCCAGCGTGGGCGTGATCGGCGACTCGCGCCGCTCCCGCACCGGCAGCTCCCCGCACTCGCCCGTCGGCAGCGCGGCCGACTCC